TATTATATGCATATACATAGAGAGAGTTATGAGTCGAACGTGTAACTCTTTGTTGAGGGGAAGACGAACTTAAAATTTTGAAACTTCAAGTTCCCATGCGTAGGGAATGATTCCTTTAGCCAAGTTGGCATTCAATCAACTCCCTTTACTAAAATTTCACATAAATGTAATATGTAATGTGGGTGATACGCGCTTGTATTTGATTTGATGAAACAATCGGTAAATAAATATGCACCAAAACGAAGAGAATTCAACTTCTTAGGACTCAAGTCTCACTCAATCCGAAGCATCAATTGTTTTTTTCTTGAGATATAAATTGTTTAAGAAAAGACAATTTTATATTTCAATCTAAATTATATAAATTATAAAATAAAAATTATTAATTAAAAAAACATTTTTAATATTAAAAACTTGTTCTTTATCTAATTTTTAATTTTATAGTTTAATATATTTTAAAATACACAATAATTATCTACTAACAAAATAACATGAGCAGAGGGGTTAAAATTTTTAATTTTAATTTTATTAATTTTAATAATATTAACGTATATATTTTTTTTTTAGTTTCCTGCTCGGTATCCAAGGCTTCGCCTCGATTAATCCGAACCCGACCCAGGTCGCGCACTTGAAAATGGTGGGTGAGTCTCCCAATGAAGGCTGATGCGTACGCAATGACTCGAACTCGAGACCTTACTTAAACTGAAGTAAACCATTTATCATTTGATCCAACTCTCATTGATATAATATTAATATATTTAATAATAGTAATAACCAAAACCCAAGTTCAATTAAGCTCTCCGGATTCTATTGCCTATTTAAAAAAAAAAAAAAAAAGCTGTCCATAACTCCATATAGTCAACTCACATGTTAAGATTGGCCCACACCCATTAATCTACATTAAATTTTGGTACTACCTTTTTGGAACTAGCAAGTTTTTTGTTTTTGGATTTTGGTGAAGCTTATTCAAAATATCTCTAGTGTTTCTAACCTCAAGTTGCAAAAAGAGAAGAACGAAAAAAATAGGTACTGCAGTAATAAATTTCAGATTTTTTTTTTTTAACTAAGAGTTGTTATTTTCTTTGAACTCGCATTCTCATGTTCTGAAGCAATTTTAATGCAGATTTTTAGGAATGCGCACATTTTGTTTTAAATTCATAAGACAATTGCATGTGGGTCGGCAGAACGCACGATAATAGGACAGTACTGTTCTCAGTCGTGGTGAACATATTGTTCCTTAGATTTAGTGATAGCATTGAGGCAGCGCTATTGATCACTATATAGTACATTGTTCGAGTGGGAATGCATTTAAGAATAACGAATTTATATTAATTGAGGCACTAATTCGCTAGGAAGTGGGTGCATTGTGGAATTTACACTTCCACTATAACTTCCAATGGTTTTAAGGCTCTCGTTTATTTCTTGTAAAATCACAAAAATAAGGTCAAATTAAAATATTTATTTGAGAAGCTAGTCAAGAAGATAGATTAAGATTTATCATTTTTTCATATTAGGAGATTTATAATTTTCTTTAAAAATGAATGGTCATTTTAAGGTGATATGTTAATAAGCATTCCTTAGTTATTTCTTTTATTGTTATTATTATTATTATTTTATACATTTGATTATAGAACTTTCCTTGAAAATGCAGTGACACTATTGTTAGAGAAAGATGTTTTAAAACTCAATCTATATCAAAAACATTATAGTGTGACTCTTAAACAAATATAATTTAATATAATTTAAATTAAAAAATAATTAAAAATTTCTCTCTTATTGTAATGTGTGTAAGATACAATATTTGGTTAAAATAGAAAAGAAAAAAAAAAATCCGGCAATATTAGTAATTAAACATCATGGCGGTGCACTAATATATATGACAATGTGCACGTGACCACAAGAAAATCCTTTTCTGTCGAATCGAAAAAATTTGGGACTAATATTGCTCCGCAATAAAAGGATACGGTAGTTATTGTTACAATATATTATTAAGGCCATGCAAATTTTATTAATTTTGTCTAGAAAAATATTGATAGTTGATAAGAATAATTAAT